ATATAAACAATGAATGACTATATAATATATTATAATTAATATATATTTATAAAATAATAATAATAATTAAATATAATATTATTAAATCGATTTCAATAAAAAAATATTTTATGAATTTTCAAAGCTATCATAATTTTCAAGCATTTAAACCTGTAATAGAGAGCGTAACTAGCGATCCTCTTTATTTTTTTATTTTTTTGTTTTGAAAATATTTCTTTAGAGTATCTCTAGTTTAAGGTATTTTACGAAAGCAAAAAGTATGGATTTGGAAAAATTATTAATGGGGAGAGTTATAATAACTTCATATTCTATTAGTTTTGCACATTGATATTGGCTCGTCTTAAAAGTAGTGTAAAGTGACTTTTTTGGTTAGTTTTTAATATATTTTATTGTTTTTATACAAGTATCTTGGAAGGTTTTTACAATTAAAAAAAATAATTGATCTATAAGAACTATTATTATGAAAAGTTCTTGTAGGAACCTTATCTCTTTGGGTTTTGTACAAGAACCTTGGTTCTTACCACAAAGTTTGTGGGAATTGCCAATTTTGTAGTTTTATTTTATATATTTTATTGATTTTATAATAATTGTTGACGTTAAAAAAAATAAATGGGACCTATAAAAATGAGGTTATTATAAGAGCTACCATTATGACTTGAATTCTTAATTTGATAAGTTGGAAGTGAGGTGGCAAAATAAATATGCGAAAAAGAGGTTTTGACAAGATGCTTTTAATGTCAAAATCATGCATTAGCAAATTTTTACCAAATCTCCAATATTTCTAAAATAACAAACTTTTTACCAAAAAAAACAAAAAAAATAAATGACTTGTAGGAACTATCATTATGGAGAGTATTTATAAGAACCTCATCCCATTTTGGTTCTTGTACAAGAACCTTGCTATAAAGTTTGTTTGAAGTGACATGGTTTTTTATTTTTATTTTTTTGACTTCATAATAATTATTGATGTTGTAAAAATCAAGAGGACCTATAAAAAAGAGATAAAGAATTAACATTGTGGACTTTTAGAAGAATTTTTAATTTAATGAGTTGGAGATGAGGTGATAACAAATAAGGTAAAAAAGAGAAGATGCTAAAAAGTAAGTTTTAATATAAATATATATGAGTATGAAAATTATCAGGTAGAGGTGCATCTAACCAATTCTACTTATTAATGATTTGATATAATAAGTTTTAATATAAATATATATGAGTATGAAAATTATCAGGTAGAGGTGCATCTAACCAATTCTACTTATTAATGATTTGATATAATATGTTATCAAATACATAAAAGACTAAATTAATAAACTTTTAGATAAACACAAAGTATATATAGACATATATCCATAGATCACGTGAGGAGCACGTGAATATCTGGCTGGGAAGCATGGAAGCATCGGTGTCTTGAGAACATCGCTCAGGGGCCAAGAAAATTGTATATATATATATCTGATCAAAGTTGTCATCTACATTGAGAAAAAGAACACACACTCACAATTGAAGGCGAGATTAGACACTTGGTCTTTTTGTTTTTATATTTGTAGAAAAGAAAGTGGGTGACCAGTTCATCTATAGATTAGTTTACACAAAGAAACAATTATATACAATGGTCAACAGATGGAGGTCGGTGATATTTCACTGTTTCTGGTTCAACTGATGGTCCGATCAAGTGAGAATTTCTGTTTCTGATTCACCTGAGGTGTGTGTTCTCTCACCCCCTTTTTGTAGTTCACTTTTTGGCCATAATTTTGTGAGTTTTTGATATATAAGTTATGGTTTGGATGTGGGATTATGTTTTAGTTTTGAGAAATTGATCAAAATAGTTATTTTAACAGGTTTAATTCACCTCTTGACCAATTCTCTCCTATACTCATGAAAAAAATAATATCTTCGGAAGTGTCCTTGGCACAACTTATGAAGGGGGCATTTTTCTAAAAAACCTTCAAGTGCCACTTCTTTTACCAAACTCTGCTTTAAAAATTGTGGTGGGGCATCAAACTTGCGGAGGGTTGAAAACCCATTATGGTTTTGGTTCCTTCCCACTTTAGAATCTGCGGAGGAGCATCAAAAGGGCTGAAAGCCTTTTTTTCCAATTATCATTACAAGCCACGTCCTAGATCTTGAAAACCTCATATAAGCTAATTTTTATTTAGAATACCTCTCCGTAAGTTGCAACTCTGACACTTGTAGAGGTAGTGACTTTTTAGCAGGAGTGAGAAAGAAATGGCTAAGAGGTAAATTGGACCGAAGAAAATGACTATTTTGGTCAATTTCTCTTTCGTTTACTTGGGTTTAGTATAACTTCAATTTGCATTTTGATTTCTTTATTATGAGGAAAAGATATATTGGTGGTTCATGGAAGCCATGAAATCCTCCAAGTTTAAGAGAAGGAAATGTTCTTATTCTTGTTCAATCGTTTGCTCTAGCTCATGAATTTAGGGATCTAATTTTTTAAATTTTGATTAGTATTAATCTATCTTTGTGATACAACAAAAATAAGATGATTTGGGAGTGTGGTTCTTGTTGCAGGTTAACTGTTTCTTTGTACTTGTTATAGTCTCTTATAATCATTCTCCTCGGTATATACTGAAACCTTGCATTTGTCGATGAGGGGTCTTTTGAAGATTAATATGTAGTTCCACACTTCCACATGTTCTTAAATGAGGTCTACCACTCTAGGTCTAGGGTCCACTTGGGCAATCTATACTTGTAGGTCTAGGGTCCACTTGGGCAATCCATACTTGTCTGGCTCCTCATCTCTTAGGCACTTTGGATGCATCTGGTATTGAGAGAGGTAGGATAGGACATGGTATAACTGAAGAAGACCGAACAACTGTACCACCTTTGGTAAGAAAGAACTGACAAGACATATTAAAGTGATCAATTTATTCCTCACGAGTTGTTTATATGTTCTATATATTTTGATTAATTTGTGTAATTTATTAAATTATAATAAAACAAATATTATTTTAACAAAGTTCTCGTTAAGACGATTAAAATGATACCAACATAAAACATTTATATAGTTTCCAATTTTTATTTTATTCCTTTTTTTATTATTAATATTTATTAAATTACATAAATTAACCAAAATATAGAAACAATATAAAAATAATATTTTGAGGACTTAAAAGTAAAAGTTTAAAGAGCATAAAATATGACAAATAAAATTTAAAGGATGAATAAAATGTAAATATTGAGGTGTATTTGATGTTTTAGAGGAAAATTATGTTTTATTTCGAGGTTATATTGGTAAAGAATTATGTTTTAGAGGAGAATTATGTTTTAAATATTGAGGAAAATTTTGTTCCATGGGATGGGGGTGGAACACGCCTGTTCTGTTCCACTCTGTTCTTGTCATGTTCCACATAGAAGTCGTGTCAAACGTGGAACAGTGATTTCAGTTTTTGTCTTGTCCAGTGTACCAAACGCACCCTTTGGGATATTCTGTAGCTTCCGTTGGAAAGGCGTGTTAGAATTCCGTATCTACTAAAATTTGGGTAATATGGGGTTTCATGGGCCCTCGGATGTGGGGCGGGACGAGCGATTTTGCTCAAATACACAACATGTTTCGGTCCGAATCTTGTTGGAGACAGCTTGAACTAGCCTTAAGGCCGAGTCAGCCTTGTAATGCCTCCTCACATGTGGTTCCTAGGGGGCGGGATCCATGTGAGTCCAGTCGGCGCCGGTAATCCACTTTTGCTAAAATATGAGGTTCCACTTATTCTTCGTTTCTTACATTGTTCAAAGCCTAGGTTTACTACTATAGGGACTCGCCATTTTGGGGTGTAATATGTACTCGTGTAGCCCCTCACCTGTGCATCCCCGTGTCAACACTATGGGACAATCTGTAGCCTATGTTGGAAGGGGCGTGTTAGCTTTCCACATTGGCTAGTGTTGTAATTATTCTTCTCAATATATGCTATAATCTTCGTTCTTTCCTAAAATGACTTTTTGGAGAGTAACTGCCCCTTTATTAGCAGTTTAATGTGACTCACATCTTATTCGGTCAACTATACAAGACTCTTTGGTAGTGGCTTAATAGTATAGCAAGTGGCTTATTCTGTAAGCTGGTAGAAAGGAGCTTTATGTAGAAAACCAAGTTTTTTCCAAACCTGTCATTACCAATTAAAAAACGCGCTCCTTTCTTCTAGAGAGATTAATTCACACAAACAGATTAATCAACATAGGAATTAATGAAAAACCAACGAAACAGCCCATATATAGGCTTCCACATATTTTCACGGTACTTAAATATTTTTTCCCTTTTTAGATGATCTAAGGACTGTCAACGATTGTGGCACCAATCAGAAACATGGATACATTAAATAGCGATCTTTTCTACGATATACTGAGACGTCTAGACGGTGCAACATTAGCTAGCGCAGCGTGTGCTTGTGTGGCATTCAGTGCCATCTCGAAAGAAGAACGATTATGGGAAGATGTATGTTCTTCAATGTGGCCTTCAACGAAACGGGAAGATGTCAAAAGTTTAATATCGTCCATCGGAGGGTTTAAAAAGTTCTATGCGGATTGTTTCCCGCTTATTGTAAACAAAGATGTTCCTGAAGTTAGATGGCGAGATTATCCTGAAGAATGGTCCGAAGATGAATATTACAGTGATGATGATGATGAGTTAGAAAACGTTTCGCCATCTGATTTTGTGTCGATTGTGGATATCAGATATAAAGAAAAGACTATTTGTTCGAAAGTCGTATGGGGGATACCGAACGCGAGTGCTTATGATCGTTGGTTTTCTGATTGCCCGTTCAGAATCGATCTTTTCACATATTCGGTTAGAAATGATGATGATCATCCAGGTACCATCTTTATCTTCTATTTCTATTGCATTCTATCATGATCAAATGTTAATTGTAGATTTGATGCCTCTTTATGAATATAGAATGTAGAAGTAAGATAAAAAATCACAATTGAATCCCAAGAAATTGAAAAGAAGTGGTCGCCTCTTAATGGAACTATTAAGAGGTAAACAAACAGCCCCTAAGGGATTGTAGTCGGCATCAGGTAAAAGAGTAAAAAGCCTAAAACATTATCGTTAAGCTAAAGGCCAAGACGTATACTATTGGGTAAAATGTTGAAGCATGTATATTTGAACCCCAAAATTTCTCGGTCTTGTTCCATATCTCACATTGGTACGCACGACCTATGCATGTAAATATTGTGTTTCTTGATTGAGGGCTGGCTAACATCCTATCAAATCGCGTAGGCGAAGTTACTCTTTCGGTTTCCGATGGTCTGCCGCCCGTAACCTCCATCGAAAAAGAGAGAAAAGACGGAAAACTATGGCACGAGCTTCGAGACGGGATCCGACTGAGTTGGATAATCGTGAATCCGAAAGCCAAACAATCCGCAAATCTATCAAGCTGGTCCGCGCTCGATGGTCAAAGACACTGGCCAACGAACAAAGACTTCATGTTACATTTCGGAACCGTCGTCCCCGCCAAAGACATCCTTCCTTGTCGGGTCGTCAAATGCATCATCGGGATGAAGTTTCGAGTGAGCCATGTTGAGGGTAGCGGGACCCACACGAGGCTCGAGTTAACGGAAGTGTGTTTGCAGTTGGGAGACATGGAAGGTGGGCATGTGAATGGAAGAAAGAGTTTGATGGTGCTGAAAGAAGCATTGAGGTGCGATAGGAGCAAAAACTATGGTTTGGTGGTTGAGTCTTGTGAGTTGTATGCAAGAGTGCAAAGTGAGATTAAAGAAGAGAAGATTAGATATGAAAATAGGTTGGAAAAAATGTGTGTTTTTGGTGGGATTATGAGTTTGATTGTGTTATGTTGCTATTTTATGTGAAGTAGAATAATGGGAGGTTACATGTAGATATGTCATTTGTTAAATGTATGTTTTGATGGAGGTGGGAATCTGAGCAATCTGTTTTATGTAGTATTTATAACGAATAATTTTGAATGACAATGAAATATTATTCATTACGAATACTAGAAGGATATTCGTATAATACAGTAAGATACATCTCGATTTTAATGCTTTGTTTTATTCTTTGTCTTCGTTGATGTTATAATACGGTTTTGGAAAAAATATAACTTTTTTATTTTTGATAAAATATACGTTTTAGGATATCATGAAAAAATTTGAAAAAAATACATCAAAATTAACATCAATTTAACTATCTAAAGGTTCTCGTTCTTTTGTGTAATTTCTTTAATTCGATATTTTTTATTTTAGTTTAATTTGGAATAATAACGAAGTAACTTGTTTTTGGTTTAATAATATAATTTTTTTTATAAAGATAACAATTGTTAGAACTCAATGATTATCCTTATTATATATTAGATTTTTTATATTTAAAATAAGATGTTTATCATGTATTTGATTATGTTTATGTGCAGTTAGTTACATGAATTCAACATGGAGCTTTAATAAGTTGTACTTACGCACAATTTACTTGTAATCGTGAATTTTAAGTAATGTACATTAATAAACAGTACTTCATGTATAAAAAATGGTTTTTAAGAGTTTTAGTCAAATATTTTATAGTATAGTATAGATATGTTATGATATTCATAATGAATATTTATTGTATTATTTATTATAAATAACCCTACACAATAAATATTATTTAGGATGAGGATTGGATTGAGTTGGGTTGGGTTGGGTTGGGATAGATATATTTATCACCACAACTTTTAATGAGAATTATGTATTATTTATTATAAATACTATACAAAATAGATAGTTCTTTTTAAAGCATTTGAGATTCCTAAATAAAGGTACCTATCTACATGTACTTATTAATATCATTCTCAAATTACATATCAAAACTATGATTTGACATGATTTTAATGCTAATAGACGTGCAAATATAAGACGTAGACTAAATGCACTCATATATGTTGTTAAGTGCACATTTATTTACTAATTTTCTCTTTACGCATATCTATATTAACACTTATTTCTTTATGTTTTTAATGTATAATTTGACTTGATTTTGACATAAAAAGAGTGTATATATCATATATGATTTCATATATTGAGAATGTAAAAAACAGATCTTAATGTTAATATGTGTAGAGAAGAATTTATATGTAGTGATGCATTTACGACATCCGTTCCATATAATAAACATCCATGCGCTAATTTATGAATAGCAAAAATGTTTTTTTTCTTCAAGAACAGATTCAAATTCAACTTTAACATATTCTTTATTTTAAAGATTTGATCTTAAATGAGTTTTATGACTTCCTAACCTATTAAAAAATGACTTCATTCTCATATGAAAAAATAAATCTATCCTGTATTATAAAACATTTAACAAAAACTCTTAAAAATTATATTTTTATGGATGAAATACTGTTTATTTATTGATGCATATTACTTAAAATTCAATATTATAAGTAAATTGTGCATAAGTATAACTTATTAAAGCTCTATTTTTGAATTCATGTAACTAATTGCAGATAAACATAATCAAATACATGATAAATATTTTATTTTAAATAGAAAAAATTAAAATATAATTAAGATAGTTATTGAGTTTTAACAAAGTATTTAATTATCATCCTTATAAATATTATATTATTAACAAAAATAGATTACTTTGTTATTAAATCTAAATTAAATTATAATAAATGATTAAACTTAAAAGATACCGAGAACTTTTAAATAATTAATTTAATACTAATATCGATATATTTTTTAAAATTTATATTTAATTCAAAATAAAAATATTATCGTTTTCTATAAACACATAAAACTGTATTATATCAGTAGAGAAAATGAATAAAATAAAACATTAAAATCAAGATGCATCTCATTTCATTGTACGTAGGAATGGCAACGGGCCGGGTTCGAGCCGGGTATTGGTATCCCCGTCCCCGAAACCGATAGCTAAAACCATCCCCGTAACCGTCCCGATCCCCGTCGGGGATCTTATCGGGGATCCCCATCGGGTCCCTGCGGTTTCCCCGATCCCCGTTGGGGAACCCGTTAAGAATAAAAATTCTTTTTTTCATCGTTGGTTATAACCGAACCCGAAACCCGAAACCGATATGAAAAAAATTACWATATGTTAATTTTCACAATTAAAAGTAAATTACAATTTTTTAAAGATCTAAGTTTAAATGTCTCAAACATAATTGAACCAATTACAAACAATGTATTAGATTACAATATAAAACTAAACAAAAATTCGAACATCATACAACTAAAATCATGGTTTTTGACAAATAAACTAGACTTTTCGTGAGCTTTATTTGGGTTGTTGAGGTAAAGTGGATAATTTTTTTTAAAATTTAATGTTACTTTTTAAAAAAAATATTATATATATATATATATGTATATAAATTAAAATAAATAAATAAATAAATATATATATATATACATATCGGGCCGGGCCGGGCCTGTGATCACCGCCCCTGTCCCGTCCCCGTTAAAATCCCCGAATTAGTCCCCGATAAAATGTCCCCGAACTCGGCCCGAAAGTTTCGGTTTTCGGTTTTTACCGTCGATTTCGGTTTTTTTTGCCATCCCTAATTGTACGAGTACCCTTCTAGTTTAATTAAAACTTATTTTACTAAAATTTTCAGACCGGTCAAGATTGGGTCCATATCCATCATTGTGTAATGACCCGACCCGTTGCTAGAGCAACCGGACCGTTCTTTCCTTATTGGATCGGATCCTAGTCGGATGCATCTCTCGCTACTCGGGTCGTATAAAGAAAGGGATTAACGCGGGAGAAGGCCATCATCCCTTTCGAAATAAATTCCGGTGAGCGTGTTCACCCACCGATCTCTGCTGCCATAACTATCTTCATTCGATGATTGCATCGTTTAACTTCAGATCCTCTCTCCGGTGATCCAAACATCAAAGTGCTCGATTCTGATCTACGGTTGTGAACTTGATTCCTGATGTAAGTAAATGCAAGTTTATTTCAGTTTTCGCATGACTGTTAGATCAGTTACTGATTCGATACAACATATGTGAACTTGATGTTCTCTGAGATGAACGATGCGTTTTGAACTATCTTCATTCGATGATTGCATCGTGTAATTTCAGATCCTCTGATTCCTCTCCCCGGTGATGTTCACATGAAAGTGCTTGATACCGATTTACGGTTGTGAACTTGATGTTAACCGTAACCGGATTTCTTCTACAATCGTGTGAATCACTTTCCAAATTCGATATTTCGACCGTATATGTCTGGTATCACGAAATTCGAATTGGGATAATTGTAAAAGCAACAATCTTGATTTTGGCAGAAATCAAGATCAAAAACCAGAGAGAATATAGAGTATCTCCAATTTTCCGTGTGTGCCCCAAAGAAACTGATCATCCGAAAATAGATCTCAAAACTCAAAACGGGAGTTACCAAGTTATAGAATTCACAATCATGCCACAGAAAATTCAAGAATTTTTCATTATAAACCCTATACTTATATAATTTCGGGCCGGGGCGCTGCCCCACACCCCGCTAGTGGCGCTGCCCCTTGGGACCCCGCCCGCTGACCAGTCAGCGGGACCCCCGTTTTGCATTCAGGGGGCGTTGCCCCCTAAATATTACCGGGACCGACTTAGACTAATACAAGTGTGCACTCCACACTCTCCATACTTGTTTTAGAACAAAGTTCAATCCCCTTGAAACAYACGTATAAAATCCATTACACTAAATGTAACCGGTGACACTAAAATCACCAACACTTGATTCCTAATGCAAGTGAGTGCAAATTTATTTCAGTTCTAGTACGATTGTTACATGAGTTACTGATGTGAACTTGATGTTTTTTGAGATGAATGATGAATTTATTAACTATCTTCATTCGATGATTGCATCGTGTAATTTTAGATCCTGCTCCCTGTGATGCGAACACGAAAGTTCTCGATTCTGATTTATGGTTGTGAACTTGATCCCTAATGTAAGTAAATGCAATTTTATTTTAGTTTTCGCATGATTGTTACATCAATTACTGATTCTATACAACTCATGTGAACTTGATGTTTTCTGAGATGAACAATGAATTTATTAAGCCCTTTAAACAGTTCATGGAGATCATAATTATAATCCCCAATTGTGAAAGGCAATTTTAGCACATTGGTGTTAGTAAGTAGTGATTAGCAAGTTGGGGCAATTTTGAAGCAGCAGTTATTGGTTACACCACATCTTATGAAGTGGTTTAATTTTGCAATCTCTTGCTGGATGTATCATCCTGATCTGGGAGCAGTGAGGGTTTTACCATGCAACTTTGAGTGAATTTTACCTGGTATTAATGGATTGAAGCTAATATAAAAGGGTGGTAGTTTTTTGGTTAGAATGTATTGGTTGAGTCTGAATAATGCAAGCATGATATAAGCTGTGTTAGGATTCAACCCAATCATGATAGTATTGGCTCATTCCTATTTCATCCGGGTTAATACCATATTTTGGAATACCCAACCCAAGTTCGATTTCTAGTTTGTTTGATTCACTTTTTATGCTGGTGATGATTATTATTCTATATCATTTTACTAACAATGTGGACCATAATAATAGAAATTCAGAGATAATAATAATCATATGCTTGCACTACCTTTTTTCACCTTTTCCGACACATTGTTTCTAATCCTTCAAGCTTCCCTTTATCAACAAAAGGAAAAAGCTAATATGTTTGATGATGCAATTTGTTTACCGTTGTGGCTCTAACTAGCGATATGTTGGACAGAAATTGTAGAGAAGTTTCCCTTGTTCATAAATTCTATCAAGATGTATATTTAAGGCACTGCTTGCATCATTCGGCATATAAATTTGCAGGTTATTGTGTTTCCTTAAGTTGGTCTGGGTTACCACCTTCAGTGTTTAATTACCCATATTGGCATATGCTTAACCCACCTATAGCTATTTAGATTGAAAACCAGCAACCTGACCAAGCTCTTCAACTTCTTTGGCTATGACTTTTACCTTATCGACTATCTCCATCAGTAGAAATAAGAAGTTTGCTATAGGAAGAGCTTCAACATTTTCGATCGCTTGTAGCTCTGAAGTCGAAAGTATGCTCAACTCTAGTTCGATGGACTGCAACCCAGGAAGCATTAGGACCTTTTCCTGGCCCCTTCTCATTTTCATGATACTTTCTCCTAGCTCATGCATGGTAAGTCCAAGTGAGATCCCTACATTATTGAATTTCTCTTTGATCACTTGTTGTAGCCTTGTTGAGGGCTGATAACACAAATTAAGATAAATGTTACTAAAGGAATTTAAACCAGAAAAGTTTACAATTCCTCCTTTCACTACAACAAAAATCGAGTTTATAGGACGGCAAAAGTGTTTATGTTTACTTTATAGGACCAAACCTTTATGTGTCATATCTAAAAGTGTTGTAATAAGTTTATAGGACGCTTTTGGACATATTAACAGGTTTTTTTTATTAACCTGGATATCAAAACCGCTATACGAGCCGACTAATCCCAGGGCGACCACCCGCGAACCGCATTTGAACCTCCGTAGCCACAATGGGATTCTTATTCCTCCTTGTATTCGAACCTGGGACCTCCAGGTACTTTTGACCTTTGGAGCCCAAGCTCAAACCAATTGGGCACCACCCTTGTGGTTCTTAACAAGCTTTTTAGGACACTTTTGAAACAAAGTGCCTATTAGCCCTTTTATAGGACACTTTTAAGAAATGTTCTAAACACATCTTTTTATAGGTCACTTGTTTTGTAAGATACCTTTTTAGATAGTATCCTATAAAAGGGTTAATAGGACACTTTGTTTCAAAATTGTCTTAAAAAGCTTGTTAAGACTCTTGAAAGCATTCTATAAACTTATTACGACACTTTTAGATAGGGCACACAAAGGTTTGGTCCTTTAAGCTTAAGTCCTATAAACTAGTCTATTAGGACAATTGAACATTTTGGCGTCAGCCACAAGGGTTGTGGCGTAGTGGTTGAGGTCCTAGGGAATGTGGTAGAATATCCCATCTGTCCAGGATTTGATTCCAGGTGTGCACAACAATTGTGGCCATTGAGTTTGTCAAGGCTAATTTCTTGCAGTCACAAATCTTCTGGATTAGTCCAGGCATAGCCTGGGACACCCTTCCCAAAAAAAACACTTTTGACGTCCTATAAACTTGATTTTGTTGCAGTGCATGATAAGTAGAAGTGAGACCTGTAATGGTGATTGAATACATGCTTGCAATGACAAAATGATAGAAGCAAGCTCCCTCAGCAGCTCTCCTATCTGTAGATATTTCTCCCAAGGATAGTAAAATCCAAAACTTCCATGCCAGGGTTCCCACCTTGCAAAATTGGCCTAAAAATAAAATGAAATGAAAGCAAATAAGAAATGAAAGCAAGTGTGTTATATGCTAAATAAAGTTATAGTAACCAGTGATATTACCAGTGACTCATCACTTGACTTTGAATGCAATATTGATTTGCAACTGCTCATGTTGATGCTTTGCCGGCCTTCTTTTTCGCTGTCACTGAAATATGCTTCCATGCATTCTGCAATTCATCATTTAAATGTTCTGAGAATAATGTGCTAAAGTTGTTACAAGTTTACGTCCTTTTTTGTGGGTGTGAATACCTTCAATGCAGCAAGCTAGTTTGTTGAACTTGGAGGATGTCGAGTGATGAAGTTCTTCACCTGCCCACATGGGGAAGATAAGGAAGCTGGTGATTATGCAGATAGCAAATCCCATACCAATTGTAGTGAGACGTTCTCGTGCTAGTTCCGAGATTTTATCGGCACGCAAACCCGACACAGCTACCAGACTGAAGGTGAGGATGAAGATCAAGAACCCGTAATCATATTTCTTTTTTATGCTTGGAATCATTCGACAGTATGTTGCCAAAGCACCTAAGCATCATATGATATTATTTAGAGTGAGTTAACATTTGCTGAAACTCTACCAGTTGTCATTACTGTTCTACTTTCGTATCAGACACCCCAGGGTCTACATTTAGGGTCTAAATTTGCATCACAGATCACTTTCATCATGCATGTTCATAAATAAGTAATGGATTTATCCTTACCAAAAATGAAAACCGAGGTTCCAACAACTATTGTGTTTCCAGTCTTTCCAAAATCTTCTGACAAAATTGCTGCCAAACACCCTAATCCACCTCCGGATATGGTTCCTATTCCACGAAGTAATCCTTTGCTTAATGTGGCACCTGTCATATGTATCATCAAACAGATGGAATTGTTATAAGAGCTGAAAAGTTGACCACTTCATATACCATTAGAATTACAGAATGGGGGTCAGGTCCAGGGCAAAACCACAAAAAATGGAAAACTAACACCCTAGTAACTGTTCATCTGGACGGTATGCACATGTGCATAAAAGTAATTCTTAAGCAATTTGTTTGGTATGCACATGTGCATAACATGCACACGTGCATAAAAACCAAAAAACAGCTTTAGTTACTTGTATACACATGTGTATACCGTCCAAATGAATGGTTACCAGGGTGTTCCTCAGTTTTTCATAATTTGGGAGTTTTTCCCTAAACCTCCGTCTACAGAATGGTTGCACTTAAACCATGGAATATATTTCTAGGATGTGATATTACTGACCTGCATAGAAATCGTAGACAACCACAACAGTCATGATAGCCCACATGGCATTTTCTCCAACCTGCTCGAAAAGGGGATCGAGGAGATAGATAAGTGAAACTAAGACCAAGGCAGTTCCAACCTTGATACTATGTATAACTTTTTTTGCATGCTGTTCATGATGTTTGTCTATAAAATACCGAACATTAGAAAGGAAAAAGAGTTTGCTTTGCTTCTCATGGTTAGGAGAAGGTTCATTTTCACTAGAAATGTCCATTGTGGTGCTCATGGTTTTTCCACTCTTTTCCTTTTGGGATCAATCCCACTTTCTTATATAGCAATTTTGATGTGGGAGATACACTTACAAGGCAGCCATGAGATATGGAACATGCTTAAGTGCCAAAGTGGACATTTGTCTCCTGACCGAAGATGAAACAAAGTTAATGAATTTGTGTAATCACTAAGGGCCTGTTCTTTAGCAGCTTAATGACCTTAATTGGACTCACAGCTTATTCGGTCAGATATACATGACTGTTTGGTAGTGGCTTAATGATATTGAAAGTGGCTTATTAAGTAAGCTTCTAGGGAGGAGCTTTATGTAGAAAGCTAAGTTTTTTCCAAACCTGTCCCTCCCAATCAAAGAATATGCTCATTCCATCTATGACAACCCTCCCAAAGAAAAACCTTTCCAATCTATACAGATAGATTAATGCACCCAAACATCTTTATCCATACATGACTTAATGGAAAACCAACTAAACAACCCCTATCACCAATAGTGAAATAAGATGCTAGCCTCTATTCTTATTTACTTTGTCAATCTCTTAAATGTTAGCATCAATAAGATAACCTTTTAATGCATTGTCATTCAGTCAACAGTTTTTTGTGCAAAGAGAATTTGCATCTATTCATTTTTTTTATTCCATCAATTCTGTTATTATTTTAGTAGCCTACAATGCCACATATGTCCAGTTGATGGTTTAGCATCAACCCTCATGTGTAAAATCTTAAAAAGCACATGGAATGTAACTACCCAAAGCGGTAGATTATAATAAGACAAAACTAAACCACCATAATGGTTGGATATTATTTCTCCATTTAATTCCCACAGGTGTTTTGATACATTGCTGGTCTTATGACAACAAATGCGCCCCTTCTCTTCCCCTTGATGTGATTAGACATGCATTTGTGTAACCACTAGTAATATTTAAAGACAAGTACTATTGTCGTACTGAAAATTATGAACCTGTGATGATTCGTCTAAGATAAAGGTCTAAGATAGTGACCCCCCTTTTTTAATCTCCAAAAGCATGACCTGCGTGGGAATTGGGCAGAATTTGATCAGTAGGAAATAAAAACCTTAATTAAACGAAGGAGTTGGCTTAGTGGATGAGGCTTGAGACTTTGTTTCAATAGGTATTAGGTTCGAACCACGGATGCTATCAATTCCTAGCTTTGAGGCCGTGCCCACGGGCAAGAAGACCTTAAGGGCCTGTTTGTTAGCAGCTTAATAGGCTAATGGGCCTCACAGCTTATTCGGTCAGCTATACATGATTGTTTGGTAGTGGCTTGATGATATAGAAAGTGGCTTATCAGTTGGCTTTTAGGGGGAATCTTTATGCAGAAAGCAAGTTTTTTCCAAACCTATCCCTCCCAAGTCCCAAATAAAAAACACGCTTCTTCCATCTATGAAAAACCCTTCCCAAACAAAAAGCTTCCCAATCTACACAGGCAAAGATTAATACACATAAACAACTTTATCCATACATGACTTAATGGAAAACCAACCAAACAGCCCCTCACAGTAAGGGGCAATTTGCATGGACCTGTCTACTAGTTTGGCCAGAAGTTCCAAATACCATGGTGTGTAGACAAAATACTAATTATACATGGGCCTCAAATATTAAAAGTGAAAGTGCATAATACCAGTAAAGGTTATAAGCTTGAACTACATAACTCAGGGCTGTCTGTTAACAGCTTAATGAGTTTAATGAGACTCACTGCTTATTTGGTTGGCTATACATGACTGTTAGGTAGTGGCTTGATGATATAGAAAGTGAGCTTTTAGTGGGGAGCTTTATGCAGAAAGCCAAGTTTTTTCCAAACCTGTCCCTCCCAATTAAAAAACACGCTTCTTCCATCTATGAAAAATTCCACCCAAACAAAAACCTTCACAACCCCCTAGGCTGAAGCAGCAGGCTGGCCCAAGAACCTTGAAATCAACTTAAAACCATGGTGAAAGTTATTGGTAGCCTACAACTTTGAACTTATAAGGAGCTCACAAATCTACTCCTCTATCCATGTGGGACGGGTTGTTGCACAAAGAGACGCAATCAAGTAAAATAAAAAATGATCCACATGTTCTAGTGTTGCTGACATAAGGAGATTTGGTGCCTTAAAGTTCCAGTTAATGGGAAATTCTGTTTTTTTATTCTATGCATTGTACCAAATTCCGTACCTATCATCATGGTTTGTTCAACCAAGTGCGAAGACGTGTGCCACATCTGTCAATATTCCCATGTTATTTTCTACCTTATTTACACACTCGGACATCTTTGTGCAAGGATTTGAAAAGGAAACCATGCGTGAATGATTTCTTCAAATTATTTATGTGTATTCTAGAATATTATAATTTTAATGGAATGTGTGAATCCTTGTTCTACTCCATCAACGCTCCTAGCTTTTTTGATGTATGTACATATTTTATGTTGTTTCTAACTTTTACCAAAGCATTGAAGATTGTTGGAGTCTCACATCAGCCAGACTTGCGCCAAATCTTCTCTATATGGCCATATGAGTGCGTTTGGTACACTGGATTGGACAAGGCATAACAGAATAGGGATCATTGTTCCATGTTTGGCAGAACTTTTTATGTGGAACAGGCAGGAACATAGTAGAACAAGCAGGAACAGAGTGGAACAGGCGTCTTCCACCCCCACCCCACCCCCACCCCTTGGAACAAGGTAGAACAAACCTATATTTCACCAATATAATCTCAAAATAAAACACAATTCTCTTCTAAAACATCAAATACGCCTCCCTCTTTATATTTTATTCATTCTTCAAATTTTATTTACAGTATTTCATGTTCTTTAAACTTTCATTTTACAGTTATCAAAATATTATTTTTATCTGGTTTATGCATTTTGGTTAGTTGATGTAACTTATTAAATATTAATAATAATAAAATAATAGAAAATGTAAAATATAGAAACTGGAAACTACATGAACTTTTTATTTTGGTGTCATTTTAATCGTCTTGACGAAAACTTTCTAAAATATATTTTGTTATAAAAATATTTATTTTATTATAATTTAATAAATTACATAAATTATTTGAAATATATAAAAGATATAAATAAATTATTGGGGGTAAATTGGTCATTTTTCTATTATGTCATGTCCAGTTTTGTCTTACCAGACGCTGAACAACTATTTTGTCCTATTCTGTCATGTCTGTACCAAAGGCACCCTATATGTTGGAACTGCCCTTCTCTCTCAAAGGGCTCTTTTGGAGTGTAAATATGGGAGTTACACATATTCTCAAATGGTATCAGAGCCAAGGTCTAGTAGCATTCTAGGGACTCAACACTTTGGGGCAATCTGTACTCATCTAGTCCTTTCTCAACACTCTTGGACAATTTGTGCCCGTCTAACCTCCATTGGACGGGTAATGCTGGAGTCTCGCATCTACTGGCTTTGGACCATATCTCCTCTATATATGTTGGAACCTCCCTTCTCTCCCAAGGGCTCTTTTGGAATGCAAATCTTTGGGTTCCACGTGTTCTTACAAAGATAACTTAGAGTTCCTTGAAATTTGCCAAGGATTGTGTGTTTAAAGGTTTACAATGTCTTTAAAACTCTCAAATGTTGTGTAAGTTAGTGTTAATGAGTACAATTTAGTCTTCATGAGTGACTTTTGAATATTGGTGCTGCAGCAATGGAATTATGAGATTGATGTGAAGTGCCATATTGGAGACATTGGAGCCCTCTGCATAATATCAGGTAAGGTTTGCAACTTTTATGCAGATATTTCTGTAATATGAAATTCCGTTCACATAACCTTTACACGATATTTTATCATCTTTAGAGGGAAATAGAAACTTTCACTCACTAAATTATGCCATATGTATGCTAGTTGCATGAGCGATCAACAAAACACTGATGAAAATTGAATTGCATGAAGTCCACAAAACCATGATTCAAGCATGGATTCAGAGGCTCGTACAAGGACAAAAATAATTGAGATATTTAGGTATACAACCTTAAATGAGATTTTAATTCAATCCATGACCTTCAGATGAGTATGGAGCCATTTTCTTTTAATTAAATCCATGACCACTGCCAGGGGGTTTCCCCTTGGACCACCCGCCTTATATGCAGAGGTGGATCCACAAACTTTTATCAATGGGGGCACACTTAGAGGGGTCAAGAATATTATAAACCGGTAACTGATCCGAACCAAGACGGTTTTGAGTTATTGGATTTTTCGAATTAAGCGGTTTGGTTAACCCAATAAAGAAATGAGATAAGAATGTCGATAAATCAAAAATAAAAAACAAATGAGTAGCAAATTGTAAATCAAAATAACAAATCCAAATTAAATAAAAAACAAGCTTAAGAACCCCAAAATCAGATAACAACACAATAAATATAGATCTACAAAATAATAAAATGCAAAAAAAAAGTGGGAAAAAGAAACAAAAATAGTGGTTTGTTAAATCAATAACATTATAACAAACAAAATAATAGAAATAAGACGTTGAGACCTTGAGAATTGGGGGCATCATAAGAATTTTACCATAAAACAAAATTTCCAACACTTGTATTGAATTTTTTGTTGGGGGCAAGTGCCCCCTACCAGCTACGCATAAATCCACCCCTGGCCTTTTGGTGATCTAAGGTGATAGAGGCAACATTTGTGAGTGTGCACTCCTCACTTCCTAACTCAAGTTATGTATGCCTTTATACCTAGTCGATCTTTTATAGGCCACAATTACACCAAAATAGCTTGATGATCTTACCCCCTAAACCTAAACTGAGCTAGTTTGGTTTATATCAAACACTTATTAGTAGGGTCATCGTAAGTATGATTTCAAAGATAAAAAGGGTATTCCTATTGCTCATGTAATCCTGGGATAATGAGATCTGGTAGTTTAAAAAGGTGAAAGTACAGACAAAATTGAGAGGCAGGCAAGCAAATGGCTTATTGTCATTCTTATATGATGATTGTACCTAGCAACATCTGTATCTATCATGGTGACTTCTTGCACTACATCATCCTTGCAC